AAGAAAGAAAGAAAGAAAGAAAGAAAAAAGAAAGAAAGAAAGAAAGAAAGAAAGAAAGAAAGAAAGAAAGAAAGAAAGAAAGAAGAAAGAAAAGAAATCCTACAATTTTTGATGACATTAACATGTAAATCTAAAAAAATTAGTTTTGTGGAAGTTGAGAATAAAACAGTGCTTACAGAGGTAGGGAAGAGGCAACGGTCAAAGGGATAAAGAGTCAGTCAATGGGTAAAATTTTATGGTAATATCAGTTGAAAAGTTTGGTGTCTTATATCACAATAAGGTGAAAATAGTTAACAATAATGCATCATATACTTCAAAATAGTGAGAAGAGAGGAGTTTGAGTTTACTACAAAGAAATGATAAAAGTTTATCAGTGACCAAAATGGAGGTTGACAAACTCAGCCCAACGACTCAAAGGACAAAGAAGAAAGCCCAGTGTTCAATCGTGGTCCAAACCCAAGATCTCAAGCAGAATAACGAAGTTTCAAATACCCCTACATGCCATCAGAGGAAAAAAGCCAACCACAGAGCTCGAAGATTTTTTAGCAAACCTGAGGAAAGGATATTGCCAATATGTTCTAGCCAAATCCAGGAGCCAAAGGGGAAGCATAACTAAGATGACCCAGAGAAGAACCAGCTGAATGCAGTGCACTCCACCTCCTCAAGTGAAGACGTGGATATTGAGTAACCTGAATTAGACCAGGGACTTTAGAATTATCTGTGGAGTCTCCAGAGGGCAGGGCCTTGGGAAAGGGTCAACTGTGTACAGAGCGGATCTTATCACAGCTAGTATACAAATGTGATGAATATAAAACTAGTAATAGGGGAAAAGGTTTAAGGTGATACATAGACTGATCTTATATTTACCCAATATACACACAAGTAAAAAACATCATATTATACCACTAAGTGTGCACAAGGATAAGTGAAACAATTTTTAATTTTAGTTAAGAAAAAGTTAACATGACATCTTTATGAGTCCCTCCAGAGTGAAGATAGCTCATTTGGTATTACTCAGCTAGAAAAAAAGTTAATCTCAAGGCTTTCATAGGTAAATGGATGAGGCTAGAGACCATACCCATAAGTGAAATAAATCAGTAAATATTGTAATATCTCCCTAGTGTGAGAGCCTGAAAGAGTAAATAAAATCTAACAGGTACAACAGATACTGTGAAAGGCAAAGAAACTATTCAAAGGAAAGGAAGAACTGGGATGAGGGAAAATAAAAGAAAGAAGGAAGGGAAAAAGATAGGTGTGTATGCACAGGATAGCTTGAATAATTGTACTGATGGTTTCTACTGGTCTGTTGAAAGGAACAGTTAATGCTTACATGTTTTGACCGATTTTGCATGCTTAAATATGAACAACTCATTGGAAGACAACAATATACAATATAACAATCATTGTTGAATTCCTGTCAACTTGTTTAATGAAATTCTGTATCATTTTTAATTTTTAATTTTACTAGTTTTTACTTTTAAAAAATAAAGAAAGAGAAATTAGATCATAATAGAAAAAAAGAGAGAGAGAAAGAAAGCATATCAGCCTGTCACGTCCACTCCCAAGGGAGGGCCATGACAACTGATTTATTTCTTGCCACCTTCCTGATGGCCTCCCAGGAGAACCAGAAATGCCACTTGTTCTTCTCTACATCTGCTTTGTGTACTGAAAGACTGAAGAGATGTATTTAAGCTAAAAATCAGGGTCTTGGCAAAGAAGCGCAAGTATTTCTTGTCTGAAGAGTTCAGCATCTTCCTGATTTAATCCATTACCCCTTGAGAGGCCAATGTCCCTTAACAACCACACCACAAAGGTTCACACAGGGGACATATTTTTGTCACACAACAAGCATGAAAAAGTTGTTAAGCCACAGGTTTTTCATCACAAAAGCTGGAATGAAGGCAGAGCAGCTCTCCACAATTCCATTTCCTTCCGTAAGGCAGGGCTCGTTTTCTGTATAAAAATTCAGTTGCCCAGAGACTCTGCACCAGACCTGAGAGCTGAGAGGACTTATTTGTCCAAGGTAAGAATCCCTGTTTGGAACCCCTTAATATTCACCTTCTGTTTCTTTATTTTATCGACAACTTCTTGACATCTAAGGATATGTTTATTTAAGGGAATATTTAAATGTAGTGGTAGCTTATACTGAAGGGTGCTAATGTAAATGTTATACATTTTCCACTCACTTAGAGCTGTGGGATTGAGGATCAGAAAAGGGCAATGATTTTCTCAAAGATTGGCATCATGAGGAAGATGGGAACTGAATGCCATGTTTAGGGTCTTCGCCATGATATTTTCATCACCTCTCCAATTTTACTGGGATCTATCAATACCAAGGGTGCTGCACCATGTCATTTTAACATGCAAAGTTTGATTATTTGCTCTATGTAATTGTATTCATCAGAGAATATAATATATGGGGACAACTTGGTAACCTGGAGGATGGAACATGAAGATAGGAAAAGGGAGGGCAGGTAACCCACTGGAGCATAATAAGGAAGGTGACCTGGAGTCTGGCAGAGGCATAGGGCACAATGTCACAACAGATAAGCTGTGAGGATGAGCCAGATGCAGTGCACAGCCTCCCAGAGGGCTCCTGTGACACAGGCCCCGAGGCAGATCACATGCGCCCCAGGAGAAGTACACAAGTGGGAAACTAGAGATGACCTGTTGTTCTACCATTTTTTCAAATATTCAAAATCTTTACCCTTATGTCAATCACAGGAGCCTGCTATATTTTGCCTGTTATATTTTGCTTATAATGTGCATAGATGTTTAGATGCACTGTGTAGGAAGTAGGCCAAAAGAAGGGTCCACTCACACAGACCTGCACAAAGCAGCTTTACCTTTGCCTTGAAACCTCCCAGGGATCCTCAAAGTAGCCTATCATTTCCAATGTCAAACACAGAAAGGAAGAAGAGAATCTTTCACTTCTGAAAGGACATATGATGAGAGATACTTGTCATTAAATTGAGATTCCTCTTTGTTCCTCCAAACAACTAATCAGCTTTTCTGCCTCTAGGCCCAGCAGCATCCTTTGAAGCATGAGCTCCTACCAGCAGAAGCAGCCCTTTGTCCCTCCCCCTCAGCCACAAGGGGAGCAGGCCAAACAACCCTGCCAGCCTCCCCCTGCTGTGCCTTTTGCTCCCATCACCAAGGAACCATGCCACACAGCTGTGCCACAACCTGGAATCACTAAGATTCCAGAGCCCTGCCCCACTGCAGTTCTTGAGCCAGGATGTACCACAGTCACTGCACCAGGATGCACCGTGGTCCCGGAGCCAGGATGTACAACTGCGCTTCAGCCAGGACGCATCACTGTCTCTGCACCAGGTTACACTTCTGGCCCTGAAGCAGGATGCACCACAGTCTCTCATCCAGAAAAGGCCAAGGTCACTGAGCCAGGATACACCAACATTCCTGAGCCAGGATATAGCAAGTTTCCTGAGCCAGAGTACACCAAGGCCCCAGAACTAGGATACAGCAAGGTTCCTGAACCAGAGTACACCAAGGCCCCAGAACCAGGGTACAGCAAGACACCAGAGCCACACCAATCTAAGGTTCCAGAGTCAATCCCCTCAACAGTCACTCCAGTCTCCACTCAACGGAAGACCAAGCAAAAGTAATGTTGTCTATGCACAGAAGATGATGACCAGCTAGCTGCTAAATTCCCCGGCTCTTCTGCTTCTATGTCTGCTTAAATGTCCATAGATCTTGTAATCAATATGTTCTCAACTCAAACCAAAGGCTGTCTTATTTGTGATCTGAATTTCTGTGCTTCCCCCAGCACACTCTGAAGAATCCTCCGAGCCTCTGAATTAAGAAGAGTGTCTTTGTGCCGTGCTGGTCTGCACCCTCTCAGAATTCACTGGAAAAGGGATTCTGGATTAGATGAAATGTGCTTCTGCTCTTTCACATTAAATCACTTTTGTCTGCACTTTTTGCTGTGTGTCATTGGTTGACTCTTCCCCTTTCCTTGGCCTCTCATTGTGAGTCAGAACACAGGTGCAGGGAGGAGCCGGGATTGATGTCTTCACTTATTGCTGGTGCTCTGTGCTTGTGTGAGGCTGTGCGCACGCACACACACACAGAGTGTTTATGGAACAACTAGAAATTGTGTGATGGTACCCAAAACATGTCACACCGGGTGTCACAGCTTGACTATGGCTTCCCTAAGTGTGCTGAACTGGGTCACACCGGAGTATTTCATGGGCCCTGCCCCAGTTGGTTACAAGAAATAATTATTCTTACATATTTTAACTTTATATTGTGCCTTTCTTCTTTATTTTTCCTTTGTGTTACTCCTGATACACACAGGTTCATGCAGTGTCATAGAAAAACACTCACTGCACCTTTCTACACCCTCACATTGTCACCTATATGATCCACATTCGTCATCTCAGAATGGGTCATCTTCTGCTGGGGAGTCCTACAGGTGAACCAGCCCAAGGAAAAGAGGATTCCTGGAGCTCCCCACCCCACCCTGGAAATTTGCAACTATCTCTTAGGGTTATGATACTTAAAATGAACACAGTATTTGTGCTCTCTCCCTCCCTCTCCAATCCTTCTTCTGTCTCTTTCTCCCAGAATACCCCAAAGAACAGCTTTCTCCAGTAATTTCAAACACAAGGTGAATTGTAAGCAGTTATTAGAAGTACCTGGAGGCCAGGGAGATAGCTCAGTAGAATAAGCACTTGCCTGGCAAGGGAATAAGCACACGGGCCTGAGTTCAATCTCTGGTTCTGCCAAAATAAATAAATAAATAAACAAACAAATAAATAAATAAATAAATAAATAGAAGTACCTGATCCAGGTGAGGTAAATAATTGGTGACAAAGTTAGGAAGAGCAGGTTATTAGGCTAAAGTAAAATCACAAAAATGAAAGAAGACTTTAATAGCATCAAGGATACCTATTCCATTTTTTAAAATTATACTCAAAATATTTAATTAATATGTAGTCAAGAAACTGTTTCTGTATCCCATCAAGTCCAGTTTGTCATAGTTTTAGTTCTCCTACAGTCTGGTCTTCATGGTTTCAGGGGTGACTATCCAGGTTTATAGGGCTCTGTAGAATGATTCTGGGATATTAGAGAACTTTGTCCAGCAAAGAAAGGACAACATACAGTTTTGGAAAGACTTCACCAGTAACTGGCCAATGCAATTTCTTAATGGACTGAATGGTCTACAGTAAATAAGTGGCATGGGGAAGAAGCAAGAGCCTGCCTGGTGCTCAGCCACTTCCAATAGGGTTGGCAAGGTCTCCCACATATTTGGAAACTAAGATAAAAATCGTTCAGCGAGTTAATGCAAGGTGATGAGTCTTTATCAAACTAACAGGAGAGAACCACATTCCTTGCATATGTTATATGCAGACAGGTTGAGCTGGCTCCACAGTACCCCTGATTTCCGCGGTGGAAAGATCTAGAATGACTCCAAGACAAATCACAATTAAATAGGCCAGTTTTGGGTGGGGACACAGACTCGGTGACACATAGCTACGATGAATATAAAACAATGTACCTCTGTCACTTTTATTGTTTGGAGTTACTTTTTAAAAATGTATTTTATTGGAGAAAATATATGTGACAAAATTTATTTTAAAACATTTTGAAACTCGCAATTCTGTGACCTTTAATTCCATTTACACTGTCCTGCCTCTTCGTTAAATTTATGCATATTTGTGGACTTGTGGAAGATAAAGAAAAATTGTGACACTAAATTCATCCAAATATACACAATAGCTTTTTCTGTCTGATTTTTCTTTTTTTAAAAAAAGAAATATTTGTTTATTTACTTATGTATGCGTGGATACATTATTTATTTGGTACAGGGTCTCGCTAAGTAGCTGAGACTCATAGTGATCCTCCTGTCTCAGCTTCCCCAGGGTTGGGGTTACAGGTGTGACTACTGTGCCCAGCCTCTGTGACCAACATGGTGCACCTGGAGTTCTGGGGCCAGCACAGTATGGTACCAGGGATCAAACTCAGGCCCTTGCACTTGTTAGGCAGGCTCTTAGGTCACTGAACTATCTCCCAGGCCGTCTATCTATTTTTTTTAATGTTCATTTTTGACTGCTGTAAGTTTCCCTAGTGATGGGTAGTATATGATTATTATTTTATATTTATTTTATAGTATTCTGAAGATGTTGCTGAGCTGGAGGAAAACTATATGTTCTGTACAGCAATAAAACACTCCCGAGGTTCTGCACAGATGTCATATGCATGACCAAGGGTGGGGCCCCTGTTTGCCCTATATCTTTCCCCATGCAAGGACCATTTTCTTTTTCTTTCTTTTTTTTTGCATATTAATTTTATTGAGAAGCAAACAGCAATGAGACAGTTTCAAAACTGATTAATAGGACAATTTCAATAATTAATACATTGCATATTGTAGTCTTCTTAGTGTTTCTTCATAGTACAAGATGCAGACATGAAATCCTGTCCAAACACTATTACAACAAATCTTTCTTCTCACTGAATTAAGAGGGAGTAACTGTATATCTTTCCTAACTATTTTGTATATACAGATACAAAATGGCATGGACCATTTTCTGTTGTCCTTTTAGAAACTATGGGATACTCCAAGCTTTCCCTTAGAATACTTGGCCCTCTAATTTTGTCAGACAACTTCAACAATTAAAGTGTTAAATGAGAAATTGTTCCTTCCCTGTCCCAGCTCTTCTTTTCTTTATATACTCAATGAGGGGAACAGTGGGTCTGAGGACATTGTCTGCACAGTTTTCTTTGCATCTGGAGGTCATTTGTATTGGGAATAACTTGAGCCAGATGGATCCTTTCTCCTTTTTTGCCTCCTCACACACTGGAAGCAGTGGTGCTTAGGATTGGAAGGCACTCCCTTCCTCAGAAGTACCTGCAACACCCTTGGAAAGTATTTTCTAGAAGTTTGGGGGCAGCTGGAGACAGGTTAATTTTCTCAAAACTACCTGTGAGGCTCCCAAATTTGTGTCTATCTCTTTGTCATTTAAACATCACAGAGACAAAAGGGAGATAAGAATCACACACCAGATTCCTACAGAAAGCAACTGTAAGAAATATGATAGAGTATTTTAGAACTATGGGAGATAAGACATAATTATTAACAGTACACTAGCCTATACTTTATGCAATAGAAGTTATTTCTCATAGCTAAGTAAAAATATGTTTCAATTACGTATTTTGAAAGCAAATAAATTCACAAACATTTTGTTATAAATCAGCTGATGATGAGAATTTTAACCTGCCATTTTACCAAGATACATTACTTAAAAATGAAAATCAATTTGAAAACACCTAAAACTGTCCTTCCTATAATCATTTTATTTATTTAACATATTTTATAACATGGGAATCATGTATAACATGGGAGTCATGTATGGAAACATGTAGTAGCAATCCATGTTCTTAACCATTAAAACAAAACAAAACAAAAATCAAGGAAAATGTGCTACTCATGTTATGTATGTTTTGTCAGTTTAGATTATATTCTGTGAAAAAAATCACCTTAAAACCTATAAATTCATATAGTAGAATTTTAATTTTCTTTTATTTTATAATGAATACAAAATGGTAAAAATAAATTAGGAACAATACAAAATTTCATTAAACAAAGTAATAGGCATTTGTCAGTGTTGCTGTATTGCATGTTATCTTCAAGTTGGACTGGGATAGAGTTTAACAGCATACGCACCTGCTGGGCAAGCACAAGGTCCAAGTTCCATCCCTCATGTTGTAAAACAAAACTAAGCAAACCAAAGCACCAACAAACAAACAAACACAAAACAAAAAGTTATCTTCAAATTAGTTGCTTAAGCTACCAGATATAAACCTGCAAAACTGATGGAAAAAGGTTATAAGAAATTAAAAAGAAGAAAAAAATAAATTTAAGCATTCACTGCTCCTTTCAGTAGACCAGCAAAAATCAGTAGTACAATTATCCAAACTACCCTGTGTATATACATAAATATATATTTTTCCGTTCTGTCCTTGGCCCTTTCCCTCATCCAAGTTTTGAACAGATTCTTTTCTTTCACAGCATCTATTGTGCCTTTCAGATTTTATTTACTCTGTCAGGTTCTCACACTAGGGAGATAATAGTGTGTTTGCACACATGGGTCAGATTTATTTTGCTTACCAATACAGTCTCTACTTGAATCCATTTTAGAATTCTAACTTTCCCTGTTCATAGTCCTTTGTGTGTTGACAGGAACTCAGGCTCCTTCTATGAGTCATAGCCCTCACTAATCACTCCTTTCATTGTATTCTATTGTTCAGACCAGGAAAGAAGCAGGAGAGAAAGCAAACTTTCTCTTACATCCATGGATAATGTGTAGCCGCACTGAAGTTCTATTAGCTGGATGTGAACCACATGATCACCTGGTCTCACCCGAGTACATATGTGCCCTAAAATAGAAAAGAATAGGAAATGTGTGGCTTCTCACAGCTCTGACACTAGTCTTCTGATTGCTTATATTTGTTTGTTTCTTCTTTTCATACATAAACATATAAGTCTACTGAAGGTAGTGAGGTCTAGGGTCGTTGGGTCAAAAGGCCAGACCTCTCCAATTTTGCCACTACCCAATTTTTAGTCATGTATGAGGGACTGTATCATCGCACTAGAAATTTCCTT